TGGCAGCACCGTTAAAGTTTCCCAAAATTCAATTTATATATATATGTATATATATATTTATGTTTATATAAAAAGACTAATAATAGCAGTACGTTATGCATCGATAGCAGCAACAGCTTTTCCAGGTTCTGCAGTCATCTGAACAAAATTATAGACATTCAGCACATTCCATTAAACAAAACAAAACAAAACAAAAACAAAGAAAAGAATAATATCTAGAAAACAGCGAAGTTCTGTTGCTGTTGTGGTACCTGGCACCATTTTTTTTTATTAGCATCTTAATCATCATCTGAAAAGAGAACATTGTAGAGTAATATCATTAAATATAGCTCTGATAAAGCATGGTCCCTACTATGTATCATAAAGCAGGTATAAGATATTTTACATTCATAGAGGTATGATACAGTACTGTCCTACATTGATAATACTAGAATCAGTTTTGGTTTGAAATTTACTTTGTCTGTAAATAAGATTGCTACCCCTGTTTTTTTCTGGGCTCCTGCCACATGGAGAATTATTTTCTATCCTTTCACTTTCAGTCTATGGGCTTCTTTTTGCCCTAGGTGTTTTTCTTGTATAAAACATATTGTTGGATTTTGCTTCTTATTCCATTTTGCCACTCTATTTCTCTTAATTGGTGAGTTGAGGCCATTGACATTGCTGGTTATATATTGCTGATATGTACTGACATTATTGACATGTTATTGGCCTTTTGTTGACTCTTTTTACTTTTTCACCTTCTCTTTTTAGTTTCTTGCCTTGCCTATTTGATTTGCTCTGTTGGGCCTCATGGTGTTGTTGCCTTCATTGTCTTTTTCTAGGATCTTGTTTAGAATTGCTTGTAGTGCTGGTTTGGTATTCATGTAGTTTCTCAGGTGTTCTTTATCGTGGAAGTGTCTTATTTCCCCATCCATTTTGAAAGAGAGTCTACTGTGATTCTGATGGGCTTTCATTTGTATGTGATTTGTTTCTTTTCTCTAACTGCTTGCATTTTGCACTGTATTTTGTTCTTCTGTTGAGTTTCAGGGATCTTGACTATTATGTCTAGGTGTAGATTTTTTTTGATCATGGCTAGCTGGAGTTCTATTTGCCTCATTTATCTGTATGTCAAATTCGTCCCCTCTGGGAAGTTTTCTGTCATTAATTCTCTGAACAGATTTTTAAAATCTTTTGTACTTTATCCTGCTACTTTGTGGATGCCTATCAGTCTTATGTTATTCTTTTCATCGTGTAGGAGTTGTTGGATCAATTTCTCTTGATCCCTTACTGGTTTTTAAGAGATCTCTCTTTTCATGGTCACTGACTCCAGTCCTATCTTCTGTCTAAAATTCTGTCTTCACATTCATTCATTCATTCATTCTGCTGTAAATGCTTTCAGTAGAGTTTTTAATCTCCTGGATATCTCTTTAAATCTGTTTCATGGATTCCATTTCTTTCCTATGTTGGTCATTCAAGGTTTCCATTTCTTTCCTATGCTGGGCCTTCATGGCTTTTATCATGGTCCTGAGCTCATCTATTTTTTTGTCAGTTGCTGTTCTAGAGTCTCTAATCATGTCTTTCATTGCGCTCACCATTTCTGTATTTTTTAGGGAAATCATTTCTGTTTTGAATTTTTCTAGAGCCTGATTGATCTGTTACTTCCTGTGCTATGAGTTCAGGGTATCCTGGTGGTTGATTGTCAATCTTTCCCACCTTGTTTCCCCTAGAATTTGCTGTTGGTGAACTGAAAGTCTGTATTTGTGCCTTGCTTAATTGTTTTCTCATTTTTATTTTTGTTTTCAGTGCTGTCTTTGGTTTAATTCCTGGGTTAGTACTTTGGTCTTCCTGGTATAGCTGCTCTTTAGGTTTTGATTCTCTAATGACTCAGAGACACTCTCATTTTCATAATATCAGAAAGGAAAACTCATTAAATCAGTCACAACCCTTTAACCCAGTTGATACAATCAGCAACACAACAGCATCAAGCACAGCTTAGAAATTGATCATTTATGGTAGTTATTAATCTATCAACTTTTACCATGTGAATTAAATCATAATCAAGAACCAGCTCCAAATGTGTTTATAGTCAGTAAACTCTTCAATGTAACAACTTTACCTTCAGGATGGGGACTTAGAAGGAGTTAGGAGGAGAGTAGTAGATAGGTGAAAGAATAGGAGAAGGTTTCAAGTGAAGCAAGAGGACACCGGATGATCATGCAAACTCTAGGAAACTGTGGAAGACAAGATGGAAAGTCAGAGTGCAAGAACAAAGACAAGAATAGAAGAACTTATAGGGAAGCTATAAATTGTACTCACTTTCTTTTGAAACTAATGATAAGTGAAAGAAAAAGAAGAAGGACCAGGAACAAAAAGGGGGATGAAGAATAATGTGGGGGAGCAAGAGACTGAGTGGGAAAAAGAAGAAAGAAAAAAGAATTTGAAGAGTGGAAGAAAATAAAATTCTAAAAATAAAAATTAGAGGAAAAGAAAGAAATTGAAGTGCCTCTTTCGAGGTATACCTCTTCTGTCACAATAGACAATGTGGGCAGCAATATGCAGAACTAAGGCAATTAGTCTCAGCTAGCCAATGGCAGACCCCTGAGATTCAGGCTGAATTCTGGCTGCAAGGTCCAAATTGGTCTTCCTGACCTCCTGCAGGGTTAACTCTGCAAGGTTCTACTGGAGGTTCCAGCTGCCCTTCCCCTGAAAATAGTCCAAGTTCTGATGGAAGGTGGTGATCCCTCCAACTTACCAGCTACAGAGGTCTGATGTGCCTTTATTGCTGTTGTTCACTTCCATTCTATCTTCTGGAGCTGAGTAAAATGGCCTTTATGATCACCTGCGTCTCTGCAGTGTGGATCCAGGTACTGGCACAACCAGGAAGCCTGAGAGAGGAGATGGGGTGGTGGAATGCTGCAAAGGTGGTCTGCTCTGATGAAGGCCCGGGGTGCTGGAGGTGGGGGAGGAGGAGCAGTGAGCTCCCCATGTGGCTGGGCGGTTCTTACTATTCTCAACTATTTTTATTTTTATTCTTGCTTGTGGACCACATTTTTTTTGTTTAGTTTTGGGTTTTTTTTTGTAATTTTTATTTTATGCTCGACCTTTAGATCATTAGTTTGTTGAATGCTTCTATTTTAAAGAGTATCAAATTTTGTTTTGGTAAATGAGTTGCTTGCATCAGTTTGGTAATATCAGAGCTGTTTTTTAAGCTTTGTTGGGGAGGTTCTTGAATAAAATAAAATAAATACCCACTAGTTAGTCCTAATTCTTAGATATGTCTCTCCTGAGTTCTCTACTGACTGCTTTGAATATTTATAAAGGTCTCTCTCTCTCTCTTCTGCTCTGACCAATCAGAAGACTTAATTCCCCTCTGCACTTACTGTGCTTTGGGGATTGTTTGGGTATGGGTTTTTTTGGTTGTTTTGTTTTTGTTTTTTTTTACTTGTTTTCTGGTTAGCCTTAGGGAATATATGTACAATTTAGTGTTTAGCCAGAATCTGAAAGACAGTTTTGGAGCTCTTTGTTAATGTAGCTCCCTTTCTCTGGTATTGTTTTCTGGATGTTTCTGTGGTATTGTTTTCTAGATGTTTCTGTGAGTTCTACCTCCTTGAATTCAGTGAGACTTGGGCCCTGTAACTTATTCTGGAAAGTGTATTACTATCTACTAGAGAGAACCTAGCTACATATAGCTTTGTATTACCTACCTGCTGTCCAAAATCTTCAAACTGTTTTTTTATGTTTTGTCCTTGTTTTCTAGGTCTTTTTTTTTGGTGGAAAGAGGACAAGTTTGCCCTCCTTTCTTCTTAATGTGATAGCTCTTTTTTTTTTTTTTTTTTTTTTTTTTTTTAAGGTTGGCATTGAACTCACTGTGTAGCCAGGCTAGCCTGAAACTTGAGGCAATCCTTCCTCAGCCTCACAAGTGCTGGGAGTACAGGCATATACCACCACACTCGAGTTACTTTTTCCTACTGTAGTTTAGTGTGGATGTGTTATTTTCTCACCTAGTATTGTGAACAGTATCAGTGTAGGTGGTTGAACTGATCTAAGGTTGCTGGTTGATTGTGCGTGGTTGAAGGTTGAAAAGAACAAAATATTAGTGCTGTCAGGAGAATAGCAGATTTTATAAAGAAGTGATTCTCAATGTAATCTGAATATTCTTTCTGGACTCAATAGGGTCTTCTTTCTAACTACATAGGAGACTGAAGGCATTAGGTGTATAATGGAGTGTGAGAAAAGGAGGTGTAAGATTGTAAGGTTGAATGTCCCAGTAGGTACTTAGGTTCCTGCTTTCTGATCTTCTGGACTTAACCCTTACATAGGGTATCTTGTTTATATCTGCTGTTTCACTTGACGGTTTTTTTCCAGCATGGCCTTTTGACCCTCATGAGCAACCAGCTCTCGTGCATGCTTGTGTCCTGACTTAAATCTTCTGTCTTGATGCCATCACTTTTACTTGAATTTCATATTCTACATCAGTTTCTGTACCCTCACAATTATTTAGCCCTTTGCTTTTATTGAATCTACAAAATTAATCCCAAATAAGAATACTAACCTGTGTTATCCACTTCCTTTTAATTTTCTCTGGAACATTGTCTGCTCAAATATGATCTCCATTGCTGAGTACAGTTAAATAACATTTATTGGATTATTAATCTATATTTTAAGTTCCTGATTGAAAGAATATTTATTAGATTATTAGCCTATATTTCAATTTCTTGGTTATTTGGGGGCTTAGAAATATATGTTCAAAGGAAATACGAGAGTTTTCATTTCAGGAATGTGAAGAAAGAGTGAGACTAAAGGGCAACATCTGATATAGGCTTGAAATTTATTCTGCTACCAGTTTAATAATGTCAGAATACATTTATATTAATTAGGAGCACAGAATACATATCAAAGTAATGTGAATGACTCCTTTTGTATCATCAGTTATTGCATACAAATACATAATTTTTAAAGAAAACTATTAGCTTTAGTATTGTTTCAATGTAATTTTAAAATATTTTTCAAATTTCTTACAGTAATCCTAAATTGGAGAATCAGAGCATAAATAAAAAAGTCAACAATGATGCTTCACTTAGAATTCATAATCTATCCATTTTGGTGAGACAGATAAAATTTTATTACCAGGTAAGTGGTCCTTGTAAAAAATCTGATATTTTAATAATAAATTACATATTGACATAGTTATATAGTATCACTCACTTAACTCATCTAACAAATATTATATTCCAGGCCCTAGTCTATTTGCTGGAGATTTTTACAAATATTAAAGATATAAGCAAATACTTCATAATTGTCTACTATTTAAAATGATTACAGCATTTTATATATTTTAAAAATCAGTTCTGAGTTTCCTGAGAACTTGTATAGTGCAACCATCTCTTACCCTGTTTTAATTAAGCTTTTGAAGTGTATGCTTTTTATTAAGTTAAACACTTAAAATGGGTACATATTTAAGTTTTTAAATATGAGTATTCTTGTTACTACTGAGATAAGGTCTCACTAGTCCATTCAGCCTGGGCTTGAACTTTCAGTCCTCCTGCCTCAGCTTCCTGCTGCTGGGATTGTGCACATGTGTCCTAATGCCTGGCTAATATAAGCATTCTTCAGGTTACCAGTTTTTCTAAGAATTTCCATAGCTGCTTTACACAAATTTAGGTTGATATATTTTTTAAATACTATGCATTTTCTAATTTTACTTGTACTTTATTTCATTTGTGAGTTATGCTTTTAAATTTTAAATGTACTTTTCAAGTAATCTTTTCTTTGGTTTTGATTTTTAGTTAAACTAGTTTGTATGATTTGTTGATACTTGTTAATAATTACTTTGCTTAGATTTATTAATTTTTCTGTTGAACTAGTATATAATTCAGAATTAGATTCAATCCCCAGCACTAAATAAAAAAATTTTTATTGTTGTTTGTTTAAGTCAACAACACCCAAATCAATGCAGTTCTCTTTTCCTTTGGATTATCTATCTCTTGGAAAAATTTAAGAAAAAATTATTAAAATGAATAACTAAAAGTGTAAATAAGATCCAAATTGTATAATTGATAATGTGAAATAGGAAGAAAAGGGCTAAAGGTGTAGGGGAAGTGGGAAGAGTAGGGAAAAGAAACTAAGGGACAAGAAAAAATATGAGAAAAGGAAAAAATGGAAAAGTCTTTGTAAATAGGACACAGTGGTGGAGGTGAAGGGAGAGCAGGGGTATGGGGAAAAAAATGAGAATCAAGACCTGTCATGTAAAGGTACAAGATGCCAATGATGAATGTAACTGTACTGTATACCCAAAATGTACCAATAAACTCAATGAGGAAAAAAAAGTCTTTCCAAAACTACTAAAGAGTTTTCTTATGTTTCCATACATCCCTCAAAAAAATACTTGCAATGTTTTAGAACATTTTGATTGTTTGGCTCACCAAAGGAAATTTGAGTTGGAATTCAAATGTGTTATGTCTCCAAAAATGTATTTTTCATAGGATGATAAGCACCAGACTTATATAGTAAAAATGATTATTAGAAAAGAAAATTGACCTAATTTGCTAAGATAATTGTTAGTGTTGGAAAGAATGCAAAGAAGCATTGAGTATCTTTGTCAGTAATGATAGATAAATTTAAAAGTCAGCATTGATTTATTTTAGTCATTTAAAATATGCAAAAGTCCAGTACAAATTAAGATGTCATTCACATTTTCCCTCTCCCATTTATTGAATGCCAGTCATTCTACATGGCATCAGAGCTATGAAATAGTATATCTCTACTTTTCACTGTACTTAATGGTTCTGGTAGAGGGATAACAGCAACAGAACAACTTAACACAATAATTTTGATTGTGATAAGTAAAATAGACAATGAAGTGGTAATGTGAGACCTCATGGTCGAGGTAACTAGTAACATCATCAGAAATTTTAACATACACTTTGTTATTATTAAATGGCAATTCAGAGCTTTTCAAATAATCATTTGATCTATAACAGACATCTTTTTATCTTGAAAATGAATATCTAAAAGGTTTCTGTCAGCAAATAAGTAAATTATAGCTTTTACCTAAAAATATCTTAAGTTTTTTATTCCTGTGAGGGAGGGATATTAATTTGAATATAGTTTACAATTTAAAAATCTGACTCCATTTTTAGAATTCTGTGAAAGATATTTTGCACAACTCTTGGCTGCAGTTTAAATAAGTACTAGAAGAAAAGAGTAGTTCTTCATCGACCATTAAAATAAAGATTTGAATCATTTGAAAAAGAAGAGAACTTTACAATCAGGAAACTAAAATGTATTAGAACGTGTTTGCATGGTTTCAAGTAACTAATATTAAAAAAAACAGCTATAGTATCAACAATCTACTTTTTTTTCCCCCTTGGTACCAGGGATTGAACTCGGGACCTTGTACTTGCGAGGCAGGCAGCGGTACAGCACCACTGAGCTAAACCCCTGGCCCAGTAATCTAGAATCTAGTTTTTATAGAAAGCATTTTAGGGTTTTTCTTATAATCTGTGGTAATAAGCAACATTTGGAGCACTAATAAAATTCAGTAGCCAACAAAACTAGGTCATGTGTGTGTATGTATATGTATGTATGTTTATATGTGTATATATAATATATATAATATATATCACATTTTCTTTATTCATCTGTTTATGGACATGCAAGCCACAAATAGATTTAGGTATTATGAATTGTACCATCATAAACATGGGTATGCATATATCACTAATATGAAGTCTTTAACTTTTTCAGGAAGATATCTAGAGGCGAAAGAGCTAGGTTGAATGGAATTTCTTGTTTTATTTTTTTGAGAAAAATGGTATTGGGCTGGGGATTTGGCTTAGTGTTTGTGCCACCTGCCTCACAAGTGCAAGGGCCCAAGTTTGATCCCTGGTACCAAAAAACTGAAAAAAAGTATTGCTTTCCATGCTGGTTATACTAGTTTACATTCCCATCAACAGTGTAGGAGGGTTCCTTTTTTCCTGCAGTCTTACCATCATTGTTTTATTTGATTTCTTGATAACAGCTATTCTTTCTGGAATAAGACAGAATCCCAATGCTGTCTTAATGTGCATTTCTCACATGGTCAATGATGTTTAACATTTTTCATGTTTTTGAGAAATGTCTTTTCATTTAAATTTCCCATTTTTTTAATTGGGTCTTTTACTAGGAGGGCCTAATTTTTTGTTGTTGTTCTTTATATATTTTAGCTATTAATACTCTTTTATATACCAAGGTAATTAATGTTTGTGATTTCTTCAGATTTACATAGTACCTTGTAAACTGCAAAAGAAACAAAATACATTTACAGTAGTATAGTTGGTCACCAAAATGGAGAGGGGAAACTTTAAGCTGTGAGAATGCACAGTGTTCTCATTAAGGCAGTACTGACCCAGACAGCCATGTATCTGTCCCCCTCAGAATGCCTCGCAACGTGAATGCCCATTGTGAAACCCATTGTGAAACATTCGAGCATACAATATTTCCTAAATTCTCACGTGTTCTTCATTTTCTGATTCATCTGGTGAACTGGCAATAGGAAGTTGGTCATATACAATGTGCCCTCCCCTTTTTTGACCAAAACTTGAAGCAGTCACAACTACTGTGAGGCTAATGGTAGGCTTTGCTGCTGCTTCTGAAGTGGCTGGGTGAGGATTGACCTCAAAAAGATCCAGTGCTGACAGCAACCCTGTATTGGTATTTCTTCACTAATATATACGCCTTCTCAATAGGCCTCCCTGTAGCAGGAGCCAGTGTAGGGTCAAATGCATCAATATCAAAACTCAGGTGGATTGGCCTTTGTTTGCCAATCAGCAGGTCAAATGTCTGTTCCATCACCTTCTTGATCAATATCTCTCATGGAAAAACACTGAATATTTTAGTTATTTAAAATAAAATGTTCCAGGGCCGGGGATTTAGCTCAGTGGTTCTGCCACCTGCCTTGCAAGCACAAGGACCTGAGTTCGATCCCGGTACCAAAAAATAAAATAAAATAAAGTGTTTGGAGTGTCCACATCTCTTAGGCCAGTATACACAATACTTGGGGAAGAGATACAAGGTTTGATCCAGGGAAAGCCTGGGAGTGATGGTATCTTGTCCGGTAGTTCTCTGAGGAGAAATGCAACTGGCTATCCATGGAGATTTCTTGTTGAAGTGGTGAGGGTGTGTTGATGTCAGCATGGGCATCAATCCAAATGACACAAAGGTCTGGGCAGTGCCGTGCATGGCCACTAATAGTACTGATTGCAAGGCTGTGGTCTCCTACAGTGACACAGCTATAACCATCTGATACTGCTCTACTAATCACCTTAGTCAGTTCCTGGTTAGTGAGGCCAACTGAGCATGGATTCATTACCAGGTTGTTAAAGGGATCTTCTTTGGCAACTGGAGTAAACTCAAATCTCCGAAGTCCTTAAGGCAGCAGCCCAATGTGGAGAGTGTTTTCATCAAGCCAGCTTCTCTTACGGCAGCTGGGCCATATTCCACTCCTTTTTTATTCTCTGTCCCTGAGAGAAAGGGGCTCCTATCACAGCCAACAGAGTGGACAGATTTCTTTAGGACAGAAGGCACTTGCATCCAGAGGACATGGAGAGGCTTCTCCTCAAGGACATGACCAGCAGTGTGGGGCTTACTAAAGTAGAGGAAGCTTTGAGTGGCTCGTGGCTTCAAGTTATTAGTACTTTTCTTGAGGAGTAGCTGGAAAAATGTTTTCACATTCTATAGTTTGCCTTTTGGCCGTTGGTTGTTTCCTTTACTGTGCAATTTTGATTCTTGATGTTATTCCTTGTGCAGTTTGGGATCCTGTTCAAAAAGTCCTTATCTATACTTAAGTCAAGAGTTTTACCTTCCAGAAGATAGTTTCTATTTTCATATTTAAATCTTTGATGTATTTTGATTTTAGTACATGATGAGTGATACAGGTCTAGATTAATTCTTCTGCATGGGTATAACTATTTTTCCCAGAACCATTTATTGTAGAGGCTTTCTTCCAGCATATGGTTTTTGCCTCTTTGTCTAAGAACAGATGGGTGAATGTGCCTAGGGTTGTCTACATTCTGCTCCATTAATCTGCATGTCTGTTTTTGTGTTCTTTTTTAAAAATCACAATATCTTTGTAATAATTTGAAATGTGGGAT